TATTGACGATTACCCCAATTATATGTAACGACAACTGTACTTTTGAGAACGAAAAAAATTAATTCATTCACAATTCACTCAACATTTCAGAAAATTTTTAATGAGATATATATTATATATATCCTTTTGGCAGAGCTTCTAATTGTCTTACTTGTTTGTTCAGATAAAGAAGGTGGGAAACCTCATGGGACCATGAAGAGGAGGAGTTATGCCATTCTTGGAAACTGCTGAAACATTTTTAATGAAGAAGACAAAAAAATATAAATTTATTAAAGCTAAAGGTAAAATAATTTCAAAGTTTAACTTTAGCCCTGAAATTATAAGTAGGTATGAATGAATAAAAATAAAATAGTATTATAAAATTTTTGTCTCTCACCCTCAAAAAGTAGAAATTTGCAAGACCACTGCTCCATCAAGTCCTTATAAAAGTGATAATTTGGTATTTCTTAATAAAAATTGTATTTTAAAAAATGATGCACTTCAGCAAATTGGGCAAAAAAAACAATGTGGCAAGTTGAGAATACTTTGAATGGAAAATAACGTAGACTTCAATCGAAGGTAGGAGTAGGACTAATTAGAGATAGATTTTTTTGATGAAGAAGAAACTTCAGTTCAGATTAAAGTAAGGGATAGACCCTAACCAAAAGAATAGGAAGAGGGGTAGGAAGCCCCAAAATGCAAGGACTTTCTATTACACAGGGCAACGGAAACAGATTTTCAGTCAAAGTTTTACTGTGCTTCTGTGGGGAACAAGGATTTGAGAAGAACAGGACATTACAAAAAGGACATTTCAGCACCATGCTATCATTCCCTATGATTTAGTCAAGGATAAAAGTGTTAAGGAGTTGACCTTGTCATTTTTACATATATGCAGGTCAAATTGTTAAATAATATGAAAATCTATTATCACAAATACATTTGTATCCTGAAATAGATTAGTTTAGAAAATAACATGATAACTGTGTTAGATAAGGGAAATTCTCTGCACTTGGAAAAAAAGTTTATGTTTATATTAATTTATGCTGTCTAAAGAAGAAATTTTCCCTTAAGTAGGGGATTGCAAAAGTTAATTTAAGCAGCAGCTGAAACTCAATTTGGGAAAGCTTCTTGTATGGTGGAATACTCTAGCGAATAAAAACTAGTTGCATCACACTTTATACTGAAGTAGTAATATTACTATGGAAGGCCAAATGTTTGTAAGTAAAGTTGTATTAGACCCTTCTGATCATTCTGACACTAAAGATTATTTTTTATGGTGACTTGGAAATGCTTAAAATTTAGGAATCTGTCATAAAATAATTGTTAGATAACAATCCCTAAATTCTCCAAACATACAGTGTAATTTAAAAAAATATTTCTTGTTAACTAGTAGAATACTTCCTTCAGACCAAAATCATGACGAAACTTCAGAGGGAAGCCCACTTGGGCCTCCCTTTCCTTCCCTATTCCCAAAGTACTCTGCACCTGAAGTTCAGGAGTCTTTGAAGAAGCCAAATTTGAAAAGATTATTAGGAGAACATATTTAAGTTAACTGTAAATTATTTTTCAAAGTCAGTGTAAGTTTTCATTATACAATTTTTTCACATTCTGAGGACTTCTTTTATTGATACAGTACGCTTTTAGTGCTGGAGGACTTAAACCCAGGATTTACGCACCACTAAGTCTACCACTAAGCTGCACTGGCCCGTAGAAAATATTTTAGTAAGTGTATCTAATCACTATTTTCCACCACTTACTCTTAGAATGATAAAAAATACAACAAAGAAGAGATAGAAAAATTACAATAAGATATTTTAGAGATCTTGAATATTAAGTGTTAAACCACAAGCTTAAATAAACTTAAAACACTCAAAATGTTTCATTCCTACAAGCAATGCACATTCTGGAAAATGTAAAATTTATTTGCCCAAAGCCACAGATATCTTGGCCATTTTAATCACAGTAGGCTGAAAGCATTTACAAAAGGAATGTAATGAGGGTACTGAACAAACTATTAGGTTTTACAGGAAATACAGGTAAGGGAAAACAGATAAGCTTCAAGGAATTAAGAGGATGGGGTTCCCATAAGAGAGTTAAAGATTTCTTAATGGGAAATATGAAAACCAATGATTAAGGAAAGTAGTTGCCTGATCCCAATTTATAAGATAGTTAAAAAGAAACTGCAATAATAAGCTTGCTATCTAGCTGTGATAATAGGCATCATGCAATTCTCCCCAAGTCTTTAAAACCACAGCCTAAATTTCACAGATGAAAAAATGATGTTAGGATTTGTTTCAGTTAGTATGGAGTAGTAGGCAAAGAGGGAATTTCACTGTATGTGGATATCTGTTTATTTGTAGATGTTTTAAGATTTCGCAATGAAGTTAAAAAAAAATCAGGATGTAGTTGTGCACACCTACCAATTCTAAAGCAACTCAGGAGTGCCCAAGGAAGGAGGAGTACAAGTTTAAGACCAGCCTGGTAAAACATGGTTCAAATTTCTGCCTCAAATAAAATAAGGCAAGTACAAGGAATAAATACTTTTAGAATTAAGCAGTTAATCTTGAACTTTTCTGTACCATGAAAACTTAATGCTCTGGCAATTTGGTTTAAAATCATATGGACCACTTACCCAAGAAAAATGTTATTTAAATTCATTAATTCTAAAATTAAACATTAATAATACAAAGAACAAATCATACTGGAACTATTGCCACATCAGATAAAAATCTGGGTGATGTGTATTATTATGTTGTTACTATTAATCATTTAAATAACAAATACATCCGATGGTCTCTCTATATATATTCTGAAGAAATATGAATGTAATTGTGAAAATATTGTGGTTCATTATTAATGATAAAGACACACACATACTGCTTGATAGTCTTCTGATTTATCTTACGATGCTTCATAATTAAACAAAATGCCTTTAGTTTAGATTTTAATAAGAGATAAAGACCTTAAACTTTTCCCTTTCCAATTCTCTCCTTGCAATCACAGATCAAAAAATCTCTTTACTTGGACTGCTAGTTATTAACAATACTCACATAAGGAGCAATATACATAGCTCATATTATGGGAGGGCAAGGGCAGGTTGCTGTCCATTCAGTTTAGCCTGTGGAGGGACCACAAGCATTCCTCTTTTCTTACGACTTTGAGGATGTCATTTTGTTCTGATGTGATAGCTGAGCTTTCATCCTTGGCCAAGGAAGCTTTCATCTTGGGTCAGATGAAGTGTGAGCCCAGCAGATTACCACCATCTCTCCAAACAAGGCAACATCTGGTACAGAATTGGAGGAAAAAGTAGTAAGAAATAAAATCTGAAAATGAATAGTAAGACTAAACCCAGGCACACTTCAAGAAAAAATCTAAGCAAGTAAGCACATGAAGGAGGGCAGGACAAGTGCAATATTGGGCTTTATATAATGCTTTCAGTTGGTTAAGTAGTCCTAGAGTAATGATTTCCAGAAACAGAGAAGCTATACCTCAGGTTGCCTCCACACTGTGGCGGAGAAAAGCATTGAATTAAACTATGAAACCTTTATTTCAGTTACTGACAGAGATTAAATCATTGCTTTCATTGGTCCGTGTGTTAGATGGTCATGTTTCAGGGTAAGATATCTGAGGTTTTCTAAGGGAAGGTGGGAGTTCTACAATCAAAAGGGTTGATGTAATGCTCTCATTCATTTGCTTTTAGTCAGTTATTGTCATTTGCATGAGCCCAGGTGAGCAGTTTTAGTGACATAATCTGGTTTAACTACACTTAACCAACTAAAACCATTATGTGGCATTGCAACTCTGTAGGGTAGCCAGCTTCCAAAATAGCTTAAGTGGACCTGACCTTTTTGTATTCAGTGTACTAGGGGTTGGTCTGTGCAACCTGTAGAATACAGCAGAACTGAAAGCAAAGCCCTTTCAAGATTATGTTATAAAAGACTGTGGGTTTCTTTCTTGGGTAGGAGATTACTGTCTGTCTCTCATCATTTATTTTGGGGAATCCATGTGAGAAGCCCCAGTAGTCAAAAGCTACATGAGTGACCTAAGAAGTACAGGACCTCGTCAAGCCCTAATCATTGCAGCCTTGTGAGAGATGCCTTAGCCATGGAACCTCCAACTAAGCAGCTCTTGGATTCCTGTCACTCAGATACTGTGGGAGACAGTGTTTGCCTCATTTACTGTTTTTACATTGCTGAATATGCTATGCAGCATAAGACATACTAAAGTTGAAAATGCAACTGAACAAGGAAATAGTGAAGCTGACACAACTACTACTATGACCCCATTATGAAGATTAAAAAAAAAAGATTTATTCAGATTTAACAAGAAATGGGACAAAGAAATGTGAAATGTAACAAGTTATTAGAAACGGGGATTTATAAATAGTTTGTCAGAGGAACCTCCTCATAGATACAGGGTCCCTTGAGCTATTTGGTAATGACAATCTGAAACTAACACAGTAAGACTTAAAAATCTCTCACTCCGTATTTCTATTTTTAGTTTTTGCTTGATAAGGCATACAGTGTGCCTTATCCACTATCCAAAATGATGTTTTCTTAATTTAAGTCCAGAAAGTAAGGAATCACTCAATACTAACTGTAGCAAACAAATGGATATTTAGTTTTTGTATTAGAAAAGGTTGTTCAGAAACTTAATTCTAGCACTTGGGAGGTTGAGGCAGGAGGACTGTGTGTTTGAGGCCAGCATAAGCTAATTAGAGAGAACGTCTCTTTCAGGGGTGGAACAGAAAGATCCAATATTGTACATAGAAGCTGCCTGGGCATCCCAGTAAAATGCAGGTTTCAACTTATTAAGTTAGATATGAAGAGTCCCAATAAGTTCTGAAATTATAGTGATACTGCTAGCACAAAACTCATACTAGAGCAGCAAGTGAATATAGCACTAGTTTGTCTTTTCACACTAGACAAGTCATATATACAAGAGCATTTGGGAAGTTACATCACAAGATAAAACACAGTATGTTCTAGTCAGAAGTTTTATTACATAGAAAGTATTCTTACTTGGTGGGCGTAAACTGGGTCCAGGTCCATAGTTGTCATCATTTGCTTCCTTATCTTTTTTTTCCTGATCCCCAGCTGCCTGCAGGCTGGGAAATTCTTGTTGAAATTGACTATTCACCTGGATTCCTATAGATTTTTTTTAAATAAATAAAAATATTAAAAGTAACTTTTATATTGAAGGTAATTCAAACAACCCTCTCAAGATAGTTTTTTTTGCCTCTTTCTGTAAATTATTTCATATTCCCGTGACTGTTTATATCCATAAAACTTTTTAAATTTATGTCAAATCCTTTAAAAAGTTAATGAACAGCCATGAGGAGATAAAAACCTAAGAAACCTGTCAAATTATATCCCAGAGACTCACTTAAGATGACTGGACAGGTGATGAGTTTCACTTGTTTCTCTTTTATTATGACTTTTTATACTTCTAATAGAAGCCAAATTCCTTTGTTTTGTATTACTGAAATAGACTTTTATACATAAGTACCAAAGTACGGATAAAATTTAATTACTATTTAATTTACAATTGAGAAACTAATTGTACTTCATTATTCACCCAGCTACCTACTTATTTTTATACTTCTATAAATTAAAACAGCTAATTTTATTAGGTTGAGGGCCTAGATCAGCTCTCCATAAAGCTTTATTTTATAGTCAGCTTATGTTTTGTAAGTGGGAAAATTAAACTCTATTGGGGATTTCATCATTCTTTGGAAGCAAGGCAGCATTACACCTACTGTGCTTTATGACTGCTCTCTAACTTTTCTCCACCCTGAAATGGCAGTCTGTTTGAAACAGGAGAGCCTGGGATAACAGATGGACATGAATAATCTATGCAATGTATAGCTACTTTTATGTGTCAAAGTGTTGAGAGTACAGCTATGTCTTGACATGTAGGGTTAACAATAAAAAACCTGAAGCAGAAGACAGCTTAAAGACTCTGTTTTTAAGGAGTATTACTGCTTCATGCATGCCTCTTTTTATTTTGGGGGTGGGGTGGTAATGTGGTTTGAATTCAGGGCTTTGCACTTGCCAGGCACTCCTCTATAGCTTGTAGCCACATTTCCAGGCCCCATACGTGCCCTTTGACAATAAAATTTAACTAGCTCAAAAGATTTTTTAGAGACCAGAATATATTCTTTGACAATGTGTTTTAACCCTAATCTCTTGCATGGCTGTTCAGTAACTGTCAAACCTAACCAGATTCCCCAGCTAATGTCCACTTACCATCTCCTTGCCCACCTTGCTTGTTACTGGCCCATGATTTGGGAGCAGGTGCTACTTCTGGGGGAGCTGCAACCCCAGGTTTTGGCTGTGCTGGTGACACTTCTGGTGCTCTTAAAAAAAATATGAGTCCATTATTTCAGATATTATATATTTAAATAAAATAAAACCAATATTCATGTGAGGTAAATTTGTGTGCCAAGTACTTTGGCTACAGATTTACTCACAGATGCGTATCTCATAAATGGTGTTCCTCTGCAAAGCCCCTTTAAAATTATGGGTATTTTTGTACCCATTTATTTCTACTTTGAATAACCCAATGAGATTACAGCTTTGCTTGTTTTCTCTTTTGCTAAAAAAAATGTGTATTATTGAAAATAGCTATCAAAACAATGTTTCAAAGAAGTAAATATTTATAAATAGAACTGTAAGTATGTGTATACATACAGTCTGCATTGGTACAATTAGCCATGGGATAAGGCTAGCGCAAGCTCTCCATTTGGCAGTCAACAAGTTCACACTGCACTTACTACTGTAATTCAAATAGGTAACAGTAACTTTCCTGACCCATTCCCATGAGTAAAATTTATTTAAAAGCTGATCTATAATTTTATTTAATCCTTATAAAGTGGTTATGCTTAAAAATGAAAAGGTAGTTAAGAAACTCAAGAAATACCAATGCATTTCTATTACACCCAGATCTGTAACTGATTTCAGATAAAGTAATTCTACTGCAACTAAAAATCAGAAAACAATCATGCCCTTATGTGAAGTTACTATAGCTCCACAGACAGAAGTACAGAAATTTGGTAACAGATACAGGCCAAAAAAACCCCATCAAACACGTAACAGCTTAATTTTTTAAGAATTCTTACTTTTAGCCCTGCTCAAACTAGTACTTGAGCGCCTGTAACAGTTTCAATGCTGAAGATACAGTGAAGCAGGTGGAGAGAAATCTTTACCATCAAGGAATTTATGTAACAGAATTAATTCCTATTTATATTAGAAAAAAGAATCAGGCATCAAATCAATGCCTGATTTGATGAGGATAGGAGTGTGATATGTGTTATGACAAGCAAAGTTGTTGATTAGCAACTGTGTTATCTATTCAACTTTGACAAATAGAAATACTGCCACTAGACCACAGAAAAAATTAACCAAAGTCTTTCAAAAGGGCATGAAATAGGTGAAGCAGCACAACACTTAGCACACAGTAGGTACTCAAACAAGTTTCCCACAAAGAGAAGGGTTCCACTCTTTAAAAGACTTGACTCACTTTTCTTCTTCATGCTGCTCTTGTTTTGATGCCCATCCTGTGCCATCTTTAGGCACAATATTCACATTAGGATCATTGCCTTTGTTTTCTGCTTTCAGACTTGGGAGATTAGCAGGTGGAGGCATACGCCGTGAAATTCCAACTTTTCCAAGACTTTGCAACCCATGTCGAGCTGCAACTAAATGATCAATAACATCAACTTTCTTAGAGTACCTATTTTATTGTCCATTTTACTCTTCAAATAATAAAGAATAGGAATTCACAGCATCTTTAAGTGATTTTCCTAATATTAAGATAAGGATTTGCAAACTCAGCTTACACACCAGTAACATAATTAAAGGTGGAAGTATTAAATAAGCCATTCAACAGACAGTTTATAAATGCTAATAACATAGTCCAGTGTGGTGGCCTGTGCTAGTCATATCAGCTACTTGGGTGGCTGAGGCAGAAGGACTGGTTGGGCCCAACAGTTCGAGGCAGCTTGGTGACATAGGAAAACCCTAACTCACAAAAACATTAACAAAGCTGGGCACCAGAGGCTCATGCCTGTAATCCTAGCTATTTAGGAGGCTGAAATCAGGAGAATCAAGGCTTAAAGTCAACCTGGGCAAAAATTTCATAAGACCCCATCTCCAAATGAAGCAGAGGAAAATGGATTGGAGGTGTGGTTCTAGCAGTAGCATCTGCTTTGTGACTGTGAAGCCCTAAATCCAAACCCCAGTTCCACCAAAAACAAAACAAAACAAAATTCTAACAATGCAATCCAATTACGGGAGGGGAGTGCGTGCACATTAATACTGTTTTAAATTATCTCGGGGAAATCTATCCCAAATTCAAAAAATTAGAAAATATGTTGATTTCATGTTCACATACCACTAATACACAGTTTTCACTGTGTATACTGGGTACCAGGAATCTAAATTACAAAAACAAAATAAAACAGAAAACTGGAGACATAGGACTTTATAGAATAGCTGAAGAGATACTAACTACTAATCTATAGTTTGGTACCCATATATCTCATGGGCTGAGTTTCTTCTTTGGAATCATATTATTCTACTTAGTTTCTACTGACAACAAAGGGGGAAAAAATTAAGAGGCTCTAAGAAGGTATACATTTTCAACTATAAAATATTTAATTCAAATCTGAAAAATGTATGCATATATAAAAAGGCCAAAGTAAATAGAGTTGCATTAACCTCAGTTTGCCCTTAGCAATAGTTCCAGTGTACTAATGAAACTAAACCATGAAAAACAAACACCACTTGATTTTACTCACCTGTAGTTTTCTGAGTTTCCAATGATTTTCCCTTGTATGTATTAAATAAACTGAGTGTTGCATACTTTTTCCCATCCTTTGCTTTTGTGGTCTGGCCTGACTTCTCCGACATTTCGGTGGAAACTCATCGAGTCCAATACCTCCTGCCACACCCCTTAAAATCAGTCTTTAAGATGCAAATAAGAAAAATTAAGGAGAAGTTTAGAATTCATTAGCTGACTAAAATCTTATTACATTCATATGTTGACAGAAAAATTTTAAAAATGAGAAATGAAGATTCAATCTGCAAACATCAATGGTATTTTCGTAGACCTCTGTAGCATGTACCAATACATGCCAAAGTTAATCACAATGAACAACTAAGCACCTGGAAAATGTTATTTATGGTGTATAATTGCTTGATGACGGCCCAGAGAAGAAGGGTTATAATTCATGCTAGAATGAATACTTCAAATAATGAATTTATGGAGACTGTTTACATAATAAAGACACATTATTCAATTTAAGAGGCTTGAAAAACTTCTTCATTTCCCTAAATATACCCTAATTTTAGAGAAGAACCCTAACCTAAAACTAATACATATAGGAGAAAAACACAAATTATTTCTCGTACTACTTCCCTTCAGTTTAAAAAGGTAGTATACACATATCAACCTATGGATTTGGTCTGGAGGGGTTAGGGTGGAAGTAGGACTAATTCTATCACAAAAACCATCAATAGCTAAAAACTCTGAAATGGAAGAAAGAGAGCTAAAGACAATATAATTTTGCTCATATAGTTTATTATTTTTTTTACCATGAGAGATAACAAAGTTTACTTATTTATTTTTAAAATGTATCTTTTATTCATATGTACATACAATGTTCGGGTCATTTCGCTCATATACTTAAAAAAAAAATCATACAAAGTATCAGCCATATGGCCAGGCATCAGTGGCTCATACCTGTAATCCCAGGTACTCAGGAGGCAGGGATGAGGAGGATGAGGTTCAAAGCCAGCCTGAGCAAATAGTGAGATTCTATCTTGAAAATACCCAACACAAACAAGGGCCAGTGGAATGGCTCAAGGTGTAGGCCCTGAGTTCAAACCCCAGTACCACAAAAAAAAAAAAAAAAAAAAAAAGAGTATTAGCCATGTATCAGAAAAGAAGGTTCTTCCTCCACCCCACCCTAAACCCAGGGCCTCTGTGTATACTAGGCAAGTACTCTACCATTGAGTTACATTCCCCCTCTGCACAGTTATTTTTAATAAACCACCTTTTCTTATGATAAATTGGAAAAGAACTAAACTAATTTAGACAGTTTGGTTTCATAGGCTTGATATACCTCAGGAGCGTTAATCTCATTTGATGATTAATATTTAAGAATTATCAAATCCTGGATCTCTCATAAAGTCACTCAAGCAATAATCCTAGAGAAGATCTTTCCTCTACCTGTAAAAGACAGCAACATCAAGAGAAAGCACTCTTTAAAGAAAAAAACTTCCTAGGACCAAATCTGTAAGACCACCTACATCTCTTCTACCTATTGGTAAAGTGGTTATCAGCATCTTCTAGAAACTTAATAGAAATGCACCCCCAATCTACTGAATCAACCTCTGAGGATGGGGCCTGGCACTATGTTTTAACAAGTTCTTTCAAATTAACTCTAAGACTTAAAAAACTTGAGATTTATTATAAACAGATACATTCTGAATGGTGATTCTCAATCCTTGCTATACCTTATCATCACTCAGGGACTTAAAATACATGAATATAAGGAGAACGTATTAATTCTTATTTTTTAATCAGGTGATTCTAATATGTAAGAAGCCTTAAAAATCACATATCTTTCCTCCCATTCCATCCAAGTCCTCCTTTTGTGGTCTCCACCCTGTCCCCAATTCCCTTCTCATCTAAGCTCTTTCCTGTAAGGAATCTCAGCAATTCCTATGGCTTCAACTATTAACTGATCATTTCAAATTGAGAACTTCAGTCTAGCAAAGTTTGTTCCTATTTAGATTTCTTTGTGTTGACTTCTGGCTTGGGTACCCCTACCAACGTTCTGCCTGGCGTAAGAAGAAAATGGTAGGGGCTGAAGGCATGGTTAAAGTGGCAGAATGCCTATGCCTGGCTAACAAGCTTGAGGCCCTGGTTCAAACCCCAGTATGGCAAAAAAAAAAAAAAAAAAAAAGAAAATGGCAGTTAAAACATTAACCTGAAAGGTGATGAAGAAAATACTAACATGACAAAATGTAAGTACTACTATAACTCAATGTACTGAAGAAACCCAATTATTAAAGTTATGAATAATTTACCACAGACACAAAACTAGTAAGCAAATTTGAAGTGAATCATTAATTAAATCAGCAACAGTATCAATCCTTCTTAAATTCTTCCCAAGTTACAAGTACAGGGTATATTTTAAAATTCAGTTTATTAGGAAAATACCTTGTTAATTCCAAAACTAGACAAAGGCACCAAGAAGAAAGCTATATGCCAATCAATACCTTGGATGAACACAGATGTTAAAAGGAAAAACAAAAAACAAACAAATGAAAAAACTCCTTAAAAAAATAACAGCAAATTAAATTCAACAATGTATCAAAAGATTATATGCTAGGATCAAAGCTGGCTAAACATTCAAATCAACTAATACAATAAAACCACCTTAACAGATAGGTAAAAACCACTTATCTTGGTAAATGTAAAAAAGCACCTGGCAAGGTTAGGCATTTGTCATAATAAAACTTCTCAACAAACAGACATATAGGAAAGTTGCCTTAACATAATAAAGGCCAGTTATGAAAACCCCAAAGTTAACATCAGAAAAAACTCAGCCTTTCCTCTAAAATCTGGTGCAAAGCTAGGAATCCTATTCTTACCACTTCTATTCAACCAAGTACTAGAAATACCAGCAACAGTAATCAGAAAAGAAAAAAACTGCTAAATGTAGAAAACTCTAAAGATTTCACAAAAAGTGTATAAATGAATTTAGCAAAGCAGAATACAAAATTCAGCTGGATTTCTTTTCACCAGTAATATTTGAAAAAAAAAAAAATCAAAAAAATAATTGTATTTGCCACAGCATCAAAAAGAATACAATACCTGGAAATACATTTAACCAAGGAAGTGACAGATCTGCACAATGAAAATTATAAAACATCTATGAAAGAAATTAAAGACAAATAAATGGAAAGATATCCTGTGTTTGTGGAATGGAATGTTGTTAAAATGTCTGATTCAAAGTAACAGATCCAATGCAATCCCTATTCAAATTCAACAGGCAGTTTTCACAGAAATAGAAATTACAATTTAAGAATAGATTGTCAACTACATTAGTATGGAACCACAAAAGACACCAAATAGCTAGAACCATCCTCCTTTTCTTTGTTTGTTTGAGATGGAATCTCACTGTTGTTCAGTTGTTATTTTTGAACTCCAGGGCTCAAGAAATCTTCCTGTACCAGATAACCAAATAGCCGAGACTACAAGTATGAATCACCACACTTGGCCATGTTGAGAAAGACAAACAAAGTTCAAGGCGCCACACTCAGATTTCAAATTGTAACACTGTAGTTATCCACTATATGGCATTGGCATACATAGACACACAGACCAACGAAACAGAAGAGAGGGTCCAGAAAAGGTCCTGAACAAACATTTTTACCTAGAAAACATAACAGTGCCCAGTAGGCAGCATATGAAAACGTGTTCAATACCACTAATTACCAAGGAAATACAAGTCAAAACCACTCCGGAAGATGGCTACTATCAAAAGTTTGAGAAGGGTATGGAAAAAAGGCAACCCTTGTATACTGTTGGTGGGAATGTAAATTACTGTGGACATTACAGATTAACAGTATATTTCTCAAAAAAAAATTTAAACTACCAAATGACTTTGTAAATCCCTCTTCTGGGTGTATATCCAAAGGAAATGAAATCATCACCTTATAGACTTATCATGTTCCCATGTTCATTGTTGCCTTATTCATAGTAGCCAGGGCATGGAAACAATCAGTGTCCATTCACAGATGACTGGATAAAGAAATTGTGTTGCATATATGTGTACACACAAATATGGAATAGTTTTCAGCCTTAAGAAAAGAGATATTTCCATTTGCAACAACACAGATGGACCTGTAGGACATTATGCTAAGTGAAATAAGCCAGAAAGAGTAGTATTACAAATACTACAAAATCTTTGTGTGAAATCTTACAATTACACAGAAATAGAATGGTGTTTGCAAGGGATGGGGAGAGAGAAGGAAATACAGAGAGGTAAGAATGTCAAAATAGAACTTTGCGATTATGTAGGATGAGCAGGTCTAGAGATTTAGTGGACAGCAGAACTATAGTTAAGAGTACAGTACTGTGTATGGCAAATTTGCTAACAGTAGATTTTTATGTGCTCTTAACATACAAATCAAGGTAACTATGAAAGGTAATGGATAGGTTAATTTGTTTAGTAGTCATTAATTTATCAAAGCATATTATATACCTGAAATACATAAAAAAGAACAAAAAATTTTAAAAGCAAATAAAAAAACTTTTCTGTAAGTTATAAGAAATTCCCAAATACAAAAAAGAACATGCAATTATTCCTTGAAAGCCACAAAATGAAAGCTCTACATATAGCCAAAGTAAAAGCTCCTTTGCTAGAATGAGTTCTTTTTACATTTCAAATTCTGTAAAAAACAAGTCTCTCCTTTCACTATTAATAAACTGTCTATACATGCCCTTCAGTACACATTCTTTGTCAAATAAAAGGTAAACAATGTACATGAGTTTACTCTCTGAGGTAAGAAAATTGGACAAAGAATCACCAGAGCAGTAGTAGAGGTGATTTATGCTTTCATAAGCTTATGAGCCTCTCTTGATCTTATGCTTTGTAGTACCTAGTACACCAGAAAAAGGTTAAGTCAATAAATAACACATGACTGCAGCATAAATGAAACCAGAAGATAATCCAATCAAATGTAAGTATAATTTCCTATCTCTAGTGTTGCAAAAGAATATAAATGGATAAATAAGAGAGGACAATTTCATTATAATGACTTACTAAGTCAACTGTGGGCACTTTTAGTTTAAAGCTAACAAAATATTGAAAGAATCCAAGCAATACAGAAAAGACGTCCCTGAGAATAAGCTCCATTTTATATAATTTATTATTAAAATGTTTAAGGGT